AATGGTTGTCTATTCAACTGCAACAGAATCTTGTAAATAAACAAGACGGTTCTGCTTTCAACTGTTGACCAATTACTCAAATAGAAATAGATTCATAGTCATACAGCATGGAAACAGACCCTTCGGTCCAACAAGTCCATGCTGACCATGTTCCCAAACTAAACTAGTCCCAGTCAATTAAATGTAGAGCTGAAAAAGTGTAGCAGGTCAGACGGCATCCAACAAGCAGGGAAGTCAACATTTTGGTCCGAAATCCTTCATCAGGTCTGGGGAGGGGGAGAGGATCTCAGAAATAAATAAAGGAAGGGAGGTGGGGCTGAGGGGAGGTTAAGTGAGATGAAGATAGGTGGACGCAGGTAGGGGGTTATTGTGGTTGGACAGTGGGAAGGGTGGAGCAGATAGGTGAGCGGGAAGATGGGAGAAGAGAGATTTTGAAGCTGGTGAAGTCATTATTCAGGCCATTGGGCTGTAAGCTCCCAAGGCGAAATATCAGGTGTTGTTCCTCCAGTTTACATTTGGCCTCACTCTGACAGTGGAGGAGGCCAAGGATGGACATGTCACCAGGGGAGTGGGAGGGGGAGTTAAAGTGGATGGCAACTGGAAGGTTGGGTTGATTGGTGCGTGCAGAGCACAGATGCAATGTGAATTGGTCCCTGAGTCTTTGTTTGGTCTCCCTGAATTTGAGGACACCACATCGGGAGCAATGGATACAGTACATGAAGTTGGATGAAGTGCAGGTGAATCTCTGCCAGATCCAGAAGGATTGTTTGGGGCCTTGGATGGAGGTGAGGGGGAGGTGTAGGGGCAGGTGTTGCAAGTGCTGTGGTTGCAGGGAAAGGTACTGGGTAAGGTGGAGGTGTTGGTGGGGAGTGCGGAGCTGATGAGGGAGTCGCAGAGTGAATGGTCCCTACCAAAATCAGATGGATGGGGGGGAATACCTTTTTGGTGGTGGGGTCTGATAATAGGTGGCAGAAGTGTTGGAGGATGATGCATTGTATTCGGAGGTTGGTGGGGTGGTATGTGAGGACTAAGGGGACTCTATCCTCATTGTTATCAAATTGTGGAGCTGGAAGAAACCAGCAGGCCAGGCAGCATCAGAGGAGAAGGAAAGTTGATGTTTCGGGTTGGGACCCTTCTCCATATGATCCTCTGATGCTGTCTGGCCCGCTGTGTTCCTCCAGCTCCACACTGTGTTGTCACTGACTCCAGCATCTGCAGTTCTTGCTATCTCTATCCCTATTGTTGTTTGGGGGAGAGAGTTTGAGGGCAGAATGGCAGGAAACAGGGAGATACAGTTGAGGGCATCCTTAAAAACAGAGGAGGGGAAACGATGGTCCCTGAAGTAGGATGATATCTGGAATGTCCTAAAGTAGAGCTCCTCATCCTGGGAGCAGATGCGGCAGAGGCAGAGGAATTGAGAGTATGGGATAGCATTTTAGCAGGAGGGTGGGTGAGAGGAGGTGTACTTGAGGTAATTGTGGGAGTCAGTGGGTTTGAAATGGATATCAGTGGTGAGTCGGTCACTGGAGGTGGAGATGGAGAGGTCCAGGAAGGGGAGGGAGGTGACAGAAATGATCCAGGTGAATTTGAGGGTGTAGTGGAAGGTGTGGCAAAGTTGATGAACTGTTCAAGCTCCTTGCGGGAGCCTGAGACTGCACCAATGCAGTCATCATTGTAGTGGAGAAAGAGGTGAGGGATGACACCAGTGTAGTTGTTGAAGAGGGACTGTTCCACAAGTCCTACAAAGAGGCAAGCCTGTGCAGGTACCCATAGCCAACCCTTTAGTTTTTAGGAGGTGGGAGGAATCAAAGGAAAAGTTGTTGAGGGTCCTCCAGTCCTCTAGTCCTACTTGCCTGCACATGGCCCACATTTCTCTAAACCTTTCCTATTCATGTACCTGTCCAAATGTCTTTTAAATGCTGCATCTATCACTTCCACTGGCAGTTTACTCCATAGACAAACTGCTGTCTGTTTGAAAAGTTGCCCGTTAAGTCCCTTTTAAATCTTTCTCCTCTCGCCTTAAAAATATGGCCTCTAAGTTTTGAACTCTCCAACCCTAGTGTTGAAGTACTGTAGGTAGTTTGGGTTGGTGGGGGCAGTTTGGATGTCAGTATCACTAGACCCATGTTCAATGGAGTGTCCAGTTTATGAATCTCCTCAGAAACATGTGGACTGCGATCGGAATTTACCAACTCAGCCCTGGGCTGAAACTGCCCAGACATAGTCGGTAAGGAGAAGGTAAAAGTGCCCTAGTCCAACTGGACCAGAGGGCTGCTCCCTCATTAGAGAGAGAAATACTGGTGGTGGTTTAACCTAAGGGTCACCATGTATCATGCAAGGGGAGAGGTTGAAAAGAAGAGCCCTTCATAGTAACCTCAGCCAGTGTGGGAATTGGGCCATTCAGCAACATTGAAATGTTAAATTTTATTCATAGACTTGAAAGATAATATAGGCAATAGGCAGCCCCCGAATGTAACTTTTATGCTTAACTTTCAACTCTTTCTATTTAAAGCAAGTGTTGTAATAACTGACTCTTTCAGTTTCTCGGTCTGTTTAATGAATTGCAAATAGATCCCAATAACAGAAATGTATGTACAGAAGGTTCGACTCCACCCTTCTCTTGTTAAAAATTACCCGAAGAACCCACTCCAATCATGAAACTCTCTTATCATTTCCAAGGAGGCTTTACAAAACACTAATTAGGTTTCAGAAGCCGCTTGACAAGACGTGGAAGATAGTTATTTTGGAGGGGGACGCTGGGGAGAGAGTAAAGGACCAACAATTACGAGCTACAACAAAGGAAAATGGCTTTTGAATGGAAAGCAGGCGTCTGGGTAGATTGAGAACCAGTTTCAATGTTGAGTGCTACGTGACCAGCAGAGAGGAACAGGGAGGAGAGAAATGGTTGTGGTGGGTGGGGAAACCCTTAATTGTGGTGCTTTCTCTCACTTCTGTTGTAGAGAGGGTGGGCTGAGAGAGTTTTAATTTTCTTGCATGGGGAAGCACGTGTCTGAAAAGCGGCCGGATCGTTGGACTGTGACAATGAAACGACACACGAGCCGAACCTTGCGAGACATTTTCTCCGGTCCCTAGAGATCACACTAATTGATCTCTCCCTCTCTCGCCGAGGGAACAGAGTGGAAACGGGAGAGGGCAGGCTGTTTGGGGAAAGTCGCGTTCGGTGCCAAGTTTCAGTGAAATACGTGTCAGGCTGGGGTAGGGGTTGTGGGGGGAAAGAATGTAGGAGCTTTAAAACTTCAGGAACTGTCCACTGCTTTGCATACACAAACTGGAAGTTATTCCATGGTCAGTTTAGTGAGATGTCGATGTGTACCTTCCTTGCGGGTGGGGTTGTGGGGGACGATGGGAACATTGTATTTAACAGGGAGGCGCATACACAAACAACTTATAAACTATATGTACTGCTCCATTCCATACACAGTCAGAAGTCACACGACACCAGGTTAGAGTCCGAAAGGTTTATTTGAAATCACAAACTTGCGCTGCGCAGCTGCCATAGGTTCACCTGACGATGGAACAGCGGCTCGAAAACTTGTGTTTTCAAATAAGTCTTTGGGACTATAATCTGGTGTCGTGTGACTTCTGACTTTGTCCACCCCCAATCCAACACCAGCACCTCCACATCATCTCATACTATACTACTACTACATATAAATAACTTTTATAAACAATACGTATTGTTCCACGTCATATTGACATAACTACCTTAAACTCTATAAATACTTCCATAGCAAACATGCACACGATTGTAAGATATATTTACTGCTCAATACTGCACACACACAACTATAATGCTCCATACGATATATGGGCAACTACTATAGCCTACATATACCGATCTATACCATACCTACACAACTACTGCAGGCAAAATATACATTACTGCATACACAACCATATAAACTGTACTGATTGATATTTTATCATTGACACAACTTCGATAATCTATATGTACTGATACGATAGAATACATATGCAGCGATAATAAACTAAATATAATGTATATAATTTTCTTAACCAAACACAGACATCGTTTATAAACTACGTGTATAAACCAGCTTTCAGTTCCTGGTGATCTGGGATATTAAACACTAGTGGACAGCAAGAGAAACATTAAAATTGCGTTGTAAAAGTCGACTTCCCAATCGCTAGTCAGTCTCCAGGTTAGCCTATAGAATATCGAGGCCAGTGGAGAGAGAGAGTAAGCATGTGTTACTCCCTGCGCTAGGGCCGATCACAAGCCACACTTTGCTGGGCGTCTGTATTTTTCCCTTCCCATTGAAACTTTGCAATTGAATGCTTGGTGGGGCGTGAGCTCTATCTTGATGCTGCAGCCTGTGGGTTGGGGGGGGGGGGGTGGGGGGGGGGTTGGGGGGGGGAAAGGAGGCGCAGTTGTGGTGGTGTGGGGGAGGACGGAGATTCGCTGCTCCTTGTTTATTCTGGGATTGGGCACGGCACGCGTCCGGCGCACGCCCGGGGGAGACAACGGGGAGTTGGGGAGGGCGGAGAGGGAGGTGAGGGAGGGGGGGGGGGGTTGGGGGGGAGACGGTGAGGGTGAATGGGCGGAGCTGCGGCGCAAGCCTGCGGTTTGAAAAGGCAGCGCCTGGGAGCTGAGGGGTTTCAGTGCAGCTCCGAGCAAAGAGGAGTGTGTGTGTGTGTGTGTGAGACAGGGAGCTGGGCTTAGCAAAGAAGAGCGAACAATAAAAGCACAGACAGACACAGAGAGAGAGGGAGAGAGAGAGAGAGAGGGGGGGAATCTATAGAGACGCTGCCCCGAGTCAAGATAAAGGGCGCACGGCGCAACACGCGAACGCCACGAGTTGGGCGCACGGCCGGCGGAGTCTGCACCGTTTGCACCGCGGATTTTCCCCTCCTTCCCTCTCAGCATCCCTCCCCTCCACCCACCCCTCAATCCACCCTCCCCCTTACCCTCCCCTCCAGCACTACCACCCCCCCACCCCCACCCTCAGCAGTCTCCGATGCCCAGAATGGGGAGCAGTGTGAAGAGACTGACCAGCCAGCAGACTTACCCTCAGCCCGCCTGCCTTTACGCCGCTGCTCCGCCGAATGTGCAGGAGGTCCGCCTGGAGCCGCAGCAGCAGCAACAACAACAACCCGGTAGCGCCGGCCCGTCCTCCAGCAGCAAGCTGAAAAGGCAGCGCTGCTGTTCGCCTGAGTTACTGCGCTGCAAGAGGCGCCTGAATTTTAGCGGTTTCGGCTACAGTCTCCCCCCGCAGCAGCCGGCAGCCGTGGCCCGGCGGAACGAGAGGGAGAGGAACCGGGTGAAGCTGGTTAACCTGGGCTTCGCCACCCTCCGGGAACACGTCCCGAACGGCAGCGCCAACAAGAAGATGAGCAAAGTGGAGACGCTGCGCTCGGCGGTGGAGTATATCCGTGCGTTACAGCAGCTTCTGGACGAGCATGATGCAGTGAGCGCGGTTTTCCAGGCCGGCCTGCTCTCCCCCACTCTCTCCACCGAGATCAACTCCATTGCCAGCTCTCCTGTGTCCTCCTGCTCCTCTGAGGAAGTACCGAGCGAGCCTCTGAGTCCTGAGGAACAAGAACTCCTAGACTTTGCCAGCTGGTTTTGAGCGCTCTCTCTCTCTCTCTCCCTTTCTCTCTCTCTTTCCCTCTCTCTCTCTTCCTCTCTCTCTCTCTGTCTCTCCCTGCAGCAGGTTTGGACTTTAATGACCCCTCCATATTGCGATGCCAAACGAGAACTATACCTCCAGGCCCGCCCGAGATTCGGCTCCATTTCAAGGGCGCAGGATACTGGAAGGAGGAAGTGTTGACATTTACGCCCGGTTTTGCGCTCCCTGCCCGCCTTAGATGTCACTGTCGTAACCCGCCCAAAGTGAGCTGGGGTGGAGGGGGTTGAGGTGGGAGATATTCCTGAGAGATCGGAGCTCCCCCCACTCCCGGGGAGGAGGAGAGGGGGATAGATACAGAATCCCACTCTGGTTGTGTGGAAGCAGCGGATATCTCAGGAACTGGTTTCCCTGTCTCGATGGCCCGAATGGCTGCCTTCTGCGCCGTCACTATTCTGGGACTCTGGAAACAAGAATCTCTCTCTCTTTGAAAGCAAAATACTCTGGACGCTGGAGACCTGAAACAATTCGACAACTGCTGGAGAAACTCAACGGGTCTGGCAGCATCTGGAGAGAGAGAGAGAAACAAGAGTTAATGTTTCAAGACTGGGGTGACCCTTCAGAACTGAAACGTGTTGGAAAATTCTATTTTTATGTACTTTTGACAGAAGAGACTGACAACTGTCTAAAAGAGCTAACTGGAAGTATAGAGTTAAATATTGTCCAATCCTTTTCAGTTCTGAAGGAGTCAGATTGGATTAAAGACATTAGCCCCGTCCCTCTCCCTCTTCCTCTCAGACTTACTGAATTTCTCCTTCATTTTCCGTGTTTCCATCCTGTGCCGGTGCCGAACCGGGTGAACATCGTCGACCATCGTGTCTCCTTTCTCCAACTCGGTCAGAAAGAAGAATAAAGCCCGGCTGAGTTACCCCGGGACCCAGGCAGCAGCGGCGGACTCACATCTTGCCTGCACAGCAGCCTTCACTGGCGAAACCGTGCTGTGGATACAATGTGTGCCTAGGCCAACCGCCGCCCCACTCCCACAGAGAGAAAACTCCCTCCCGGGTCCACGGTTATACCGGACAACCTGAAGCAATCACCAAAGCCAGCACTGCCTGCTCCCAGATACTGACCCTCTGCCAACTCCGAGACCAGCCCCGAGAACTCTCATAGACTTCTCAACGTGAACCATACAACACGATTTTGTGGACGAAGTGTCTTTCTTTGTCACAGTTAATGCTTTATCCAATCGAAGAGTTGTTGTTTTTAAAATAATACTTTTATACTATTTTCAATATTGAACGCTTCAAGGCCTTGAGTTTTTTAAATTACAAGAAAAAATCTATTTGTATCTATGCTAACCAGTTCTGAATTATATTAAGCTATTTTTGTATATAAGAGAGATGATTTATAGAGTTTTGTACACGACTTGATGTTTTTTTTTAATTAAATATGTGTGTCGGGCCAGAAGCTAAAGAAGCGTGTGATATCCGCGCCATTGCCTTTATATCTGAGCCTCTGAGCTGCCAGTTGGAATGTCCACGGATTTTAGAGGATGACATTCCCCTCTCTTAACTACCAGGGAATTCTGTTAGTGTCTTATTCTCGAGTTTGGTAGCGGAACTTAACCGATTTCACTGCCCGAAACAAACGGAGCCACCTCCTGCTAAACTTCGGTTTACAGTTATCCGTTCTCGGCCCTGTTTTGGTCCTATATATATTTATATATAAAGAGTTTTTTTTTGTTTTGTAAACTGACAAAAGCATGTCCGTATGATGTCTTTTTCCTACATATTAGTTTCATAATAAAGCATTTTTATATTTAAAAAAACAAAACTATCCTTGGTTAATGTAATGTATCTGTTTCGTCAATGTATCCAGCCCCAAATTTGTCAGTATTCAAGTCCCAGGTAAACCAGTTTGGCCGAACTCTCACTGTGGTCAGAACTCCCAGCTAATCCGCCTTCCGACACTGATTTCAGCCTGGAGCAGACAAGAAAGACGGTACATTTAAACTATTCACAACTCCACAACGTCCCAGAACCTCTCAGGAAGTAGTAGCTTTCGATGGGGAAGTTGCTTTGAAGTATAGTCAAGATGAGGAGGTGCCCGTGGAGGACTGGGGTGGACAAAGTCAGAACTCACACCACACCAGGGCTATAGTGCAACAGGTTTATTTGAAATCACAAGCTTTCGGAGCAGCGTTGGTGTTGTGTGACTCTTGACTGAAGTCTCGATAATGTAGGAAATACAGCAGCAAATAAGATCCCACCAAAACCAGGACGATAATGAACAGATAATCTGCCCCTGATAATGTTAGTTGAAGGATAAATGTTGGCCAAGACATAAGTAAAATCTCACCTACTCTTTTTAAAATAGTGACCATGGGATCTTTTAGTATACCCTTGAAGGATAGATGTGGCCTTGATTTTATGTTCCTTCTTGCCGTTCTTGGGATGTGAACTAATGTTGGCCGAGTCAGCATTTATTGCACATCCTCAGTTGCCCTGGGACAGGTGGTAGTAGGTGAGGTGGAGGTACTGTTAGGGAGGGAATCCCAGGATTTTGACCCAGCGACAGTGAAGGAACGGTGATATATTTCCAAGTCAGGATGGTGAGTGATGGAGGGGAACTTGCAGGGGGTGGTGTTCCTATGTATCTGCTGCCCTTGTCCTTCCAGATGGAAGTGTTCGTGGGTTTGGAAGGTGCTGTCTAAGGATCTTTGGTGAATTTCTGCAGTGCATCTTGAAAATAGTACACACTGCTGCTACTGTGTATCGGTGGTGGAGGGAGTGGGTCTTTGTGGGTGTGGTGCAATCGGGCAGGCTGTTTTGTCCTGGATGGTGTCATATTCCTGAGCGTTGTTGGAGCTGCATCCATCCAGGAAGGAGATCTTGTGGAACAGTGTCACTGTCTCCGTGCCAAGGTCTCTGGGCTCAAGATCTCAGGACTGGATGGTCAAGGAAGGTGTGATCTAAGGGAGTCGGTTGGTGCCCAATCTGCAAATCCTTCTGCTTGCACCTTTCTGGTGGGCTTCAAAAGTAAGAAAGCTCTCAGTTCAGACTAAACAGTGTGGCAGCTGGAGTACAACACTGCCGTGAACAAATGTCATCCTGAACTGACACGTCCAGGCAAGTGGGGGAGTATTCGCCTGAGCTGTAACTCTCACACTGGCCTGCACTGCAGCGTAGAGAGCGGCGCTTGAACCCACAAACATCTGACTTGAGAGTCCCGACCAGACTGAACCCCATAAGCTTTGAAGTTTAAATGGGTTGGAGAGGGGGTGGAGTAGAATAAGTGCCTGAGGGTAGCGTGTCGTCTTCTCTGCATGTCCCACTTATTTGACTATCGATCAGCCCTTAATCTCAGTGACGCCTCGGGCTTTCGGGTCTGCAATTTGATTACCAAGTATCCTTTACAGCGCCAGTTGTGATTTCCTTACATAGTAAGAGACTGCTTTCAGAAAGCGCTGCGGTGTTTTGTTGGCTACTCCCTGTCAGTTAGTAGGAACGTGACAGGAATATTAGTTGCGCCTATTTCGGTTGTCCTTACGACTTGTCATCGGAAACTACATGAACATTCCGCTTGCGTGCGCCCAGCCAAGCAGAACCCTCAATCAGGCACCACTCCCAGGCTAGACAATAGCTTAGGCTTCAGGTCGGAAACATATTGCTGCTGAATCCTCCGCAGTTTGAGTTTTGGCTAGCAGGACGGGGGTGGGTTAAGCAGAGGAGGAGATGCAATTGTGGAACTGAACTGGAAAAGAAATAAGTAATTGCTGCCAGACTTGCGGGGGGGTCGAATGGGGAGGCGTTCCTTTAAAGTGGGTCGCCTCTCTTTCTCTCTTCACACTGTCTCTCTCTGGAACTGCTTCACAGTTTCAATGTTCACGGAGTGACTGCTCCGGAGTTCAGAAATTTTACTTCATGGGATGTACTTTACTGGTGATAAAATGAGGAAAAGACACCTCTCTAAAATCCACACTTTAACCACTATCATCACTGCCTCTGAGCTTCAGGTGGGTGGGGGTGCTGCAGGGTGGTGGGGGGTGGGGGGTGGGGTGCGGTTGCACTGATGCCCATTCAGTTTAGCAAGTACCTCAGCGTTCACCTACAAGCAACACAGGCCTAGGGTCCAAAAACAGAAAATGCTGGAGAAACTCAGCAGGTCCAGCGGCATATGTGAAGAGAGAAACAGGCACCAGTGATACTCCTTCAGAAATCGGCCTTGGTTAGTTTGTTCAACATCAATTTGGGATATTCAGTATTGAACTTTGGAAACTGCCTTAGAGCAACCACAGTCAGCAGGGAAGATGATTCCTTTGACACAGTGCCCTGTGATTTGGAGATTTTTTTTACACAATGTGCTGTGATTTAAAAGGGACTTTTTACACAGTGTACTGTGATATGGAGTTTTTTTTACACAGTGTGTTGTGATTTGGAAGAGCGTTTTTACAGTGAGCTGAGATTTTGGCGAGATTTGTCTTTACATAGTGTGCTGTGATTTTTTTACATAGGTGATCTGATTTCGAGGAGAAATTTTCCACATCGTGCTGTGATTTGGAAGTTTTTTTTACACAGGGTTCTTTGAAAAATGGAGAATTGGAGAAATATATGTCGGGGAAATATTTACAGGAACGGGCGATGGGACAAGTAGAGCTTCCAAGGGCTAGCACACACGCACACGGCGGGCCGAATTACCTCCTCCTATACTGTAAATCATACACCATGATCCTGTTCTGAATACAAAACCGTTACATATCCCAAGCAGAAAAACTAAACTGCTCCACTTGTAACGGAGCCTCCAACTATCACAAGTGTTACAAAGTCAGAAAGAGTGGTGAGGTAACAAGGTGCAGAGCTGGATGAACACAGCAGGCCAAGCAGCATCAGAGGAGCAGGAAGGCTGACGTTTCGGGCCTAGACTCTTCTTCAGAAAAAGGGTCTAGGCCTTCTGAAGAAGGGTCTAGGCC